AAAAAGTCTTCAGATACGACTTGGAGAACTGGTTCTGTGTAGAGCTTTATCGTAAGTTGATCAAGCTCTACACAGAGTGAGATGCTGACCCAGTAAACTCATGTTGTGAAACTGAGTCTTTACTTCAACAGTATCAGGAATACATGGGAGCACATGGGAGTACAAGATAGAGTGCTTGGAAGTTCACACTGCAGCTCTCTGCTAAGAAACATTTATATTACTTCCATCTGCTTTAAGATCTATCATATATTATCAGAAGGAGAACATCAGTGTTAAAAAATCTCAGTGGATAGAACTAGAAAAAAGCATAAATGTATATTCAAATTCAAATTTAGGGAGAACTGAAAAAAAAACATTCAATCTATCAGTGAGCCTAACTGTAAAAAATCTATCAGTGGCAGAACTGAAACACTTATTAATGCTATCAGTGGATAGAACTAAAACAGACATGCAAATGTATCAGTGGGCAGAACTGGAAAAAATATTTATCCTATCAGTGGGCAGAACTGGAAAAAAATATTTATCCTATCAGTGGGCAGAACTGGAAGGAAAATATTAAATCTATCAGTGGGTAGAAGAGGAAAAAAACAACATGTGAATCTATCATTGGAGAGATTGTAAAAAAAAAGGAGCTACCCATGCAATTCTATCAGTGGAGAGAACTGTAAAATCCCACTCACGTAAATCTGTCAGTGGGAAGTGCCAGTTCTGGTGGCTGCCATATGACTGTCAGTGTGGTGGCAGTCTTAGCATCGAGCAAAAGACTGTGTGGTGCTGACGACACACCCGCAAGGGCACTGCCATTGTGGGCACCAGCTGTCACGTTAATGGTCAGCACTGAGGAAGGCAGCGATGTACCCTCATCGTTCATGGAGATCACGAAAAAGTTATACATATTACCGGGTCTCAGGCCAGTCACACTCGCCACAGTATCTGTGAAATTCATTGTCTGAAAAAAAAAATTGTCCTTATATTCCCAAAGGTTATCAAGCTTTTTTAAGGGAGAAAACAGAAAAAAAAAATTATTAGTGGCCTCAATGTTGTTGTTGGAACACAGGGCCACTGAGGAACTAATGCCGTATATAACCTTTGTAAACAACACTAACAAGCTATCATACACATGCTGCAAACTATTGTTATACCTCCACAATCAAGATGTGCCAAATTTTATTTAATACCTTGAGTATACTTGGAGAGGGTTTTGGGGGTTAGTGCCCCTTGTACAAGGTATACAGGCCTAGTTAACATCAATGATATGCTACTATATAGAAAGCTGCTTGTTATGCAGAGCATTTCGGGCAAATTAGGTCAATTTTGTCCCATTATGTGACCCAAACCAGTTGACTAACACCTGGGTACCCATTTTACTGATGGGTGAACATGGACAGCAGGTTCTAATGGAAACATGTCCTAATGTTTTTCAGCCGTACCATGGGATCGATCCCTGGACCTCAGTGTGCAAGTTAACTGAGCTAGCGATCAAGCTACGGGACACCTTATAAGACAAATTAGCAACAACAAACTGAGGCTAGCCGGGGATCAAACCCGGTTTGTTTTAGCCCACCTCCTGGGAAGCAAGTCAACTCTTCTTAAGAGTTTTGATTTGCATCCCAGGTGGGGGGCCAAAACAACATGGGCTCGATCCCCAGCTGCTGCAGTTTGTTAGTTCTAAAATGCCACTTGTCCATGGTAGTATTAACAATATTATATATATATATATATATATACTATATATATATATATACACACACACACACACACACACACACCCAGCCTGTGCGCGGTAGTCAAAAGATTACTGAGGTACGTAATGGGTCCAGAGACTGTTCCTCAACATTACAGAGGTACATAATGGGTCCAGAGACTGTTCTTCAACATTACAGAGGTACATAATGGGTCCAGAGACTGTTCCTCAACATTACAGAGGTACATAATGGGTCCAGAGACTGTTCCTCAACATTACAGAGGTACATAATGGGTCCAGAGACTGTTCCTCAACATTACAGAGGTACATAATGGGTCCAGAGACTGTTCCTCAGCATTACAGAGGTACATAATGGGTCCAGAGACTGTTCCTCAACATTACAGAGGTACATAATGGGTCCAGAGACTGTTCCTCAACATTACAGAGGTACATAATGGGTCCAGAGACTGTTCCTCAACATTACAGAGGTACATAATGGGTCCAGAGACTGTTCCTCAACATTACAGAGGTACATAATGGGTCCAGAGACTGTTCCTCAACATTACAGAGATACATAATGGGTCCAGAGACTGTTCCTCAACATTACAGAGGTACATAATGGGTCCAGAGACTGTTCCTCAACATTACAGAGGTACATAATGGGTCCAGAGACTGTTCCTCAACATTACAGAGGTACATAATGGGTCCAGAGACTGTTCCTCAACATTACAGAGGTACATAATGGGTCCAGAGACTGTTCCTCAACATTACAGAGGTACATAATGGGTCCAGAGACTGTTCCTCAACATTACAGAGGTACATAATGGGTCCAGAGACTGTTCCCCAACATTACAGAGGTACATAATGGGTCCAGAGACTGTTCCCCAACATTACAGAGGTACATAATGGGTCCAGAGACTGTTCCTCAACATTACAGAGGTACATAATGGGTCCAGAGACTGTTCCTCAACATTACAGAGGTACATAATGGGTCCAGAGACTGTTCCTCAACATTACAGAGGTACATAATGGGTCCAGAGACTGTTCCTCAACATTACAGAGGTACATAATGGGTCCAGAGACTGTTCCTCAACATTACAGAGGTACATAATGGGTCCAGAGACTGTTCCTCAACATTACAGAGGTACATAATGGGTCCAGAGACTGTTCCTCAACATTACAGAGGTACATAATGGGTCCAGAGACTGTTCCTCAACATTACAGAGGTACATAATGGGTCCAGAGACTGTTCCTCAACATTACAGAGGTACATAATGGGTCCAGAGACTGTTCCTCAACATTACAGAGGTACATAATGGGTCCAGAGACTGTTCCCCAACATTACAGAGGTACATAATGGGTCCAGAGACTGTTCCTCAACATTAAAGAGGTACATAATGGGTCCAGAGACTGTTCCCCAACATTACAGAGGTACATAATGGGTCCAGAGACTGTACCTCAACATTACAAAGGTACATAATGGGTCCAGAGACTGTACCTCAACATTACAGAGATACATAATGGGTCCAGAGACTGTTCCTCAACATTACAGAGGTACATAATGGGTCCAGAGACTGTTCCTCAACATTACAGAGGTACATAATGGGTCCAGAGACTGTACCTCAACATTACAGAGGTACATAATGGGTCCAGAGACTGTACCTCAACATTACAAAGGTACATAATGGGTCCAGAGACTGTACCTCAACATTACAGAGGTACATAATGGGTCCAGAGACTGTTCCTCAACATTACAGAGGTACATAATGGGTCCAGAGACTGTACCTCAACATTACAGAGGTACATAATGGGTCCAGAGACTGTTTTCCCCAACATTACAGAGGTACATAATGGGTCCAGAGACTGTACCTCAACATTACAGAGGTACATAATGGGTCCAGAGACTGTACCTCAACATTACAGAGGTACATAATGGGTCCCGAGACTGTACCTCAACATTACAGAGGTACATAATGGGTCCAGAGACTGTACTCAACATTACAGAGGTACATAATGGGTCCAGAGACTGTACCTCAACATTACAGAGGTACATAATGGGTCCAGAGACTGTACCTCAACATTACAGAGGTACATAATGGGTCCAGAGACTGTACCTCAACATTACAGAGGTACATAATGGGTCCAGAGACTGTACCTCAACATTACAGAGGTACATAATGGGTCCAGAGACTGTACCTCAACATTACAGAGGTACATAATGGGTCCAGGGACTGGGTCACAGTTTTGTTAACTGAACAAGTTACAGTGGTAATGAACTATTTACATGATTTTATCTGGTCACATTCATAAGGAGTTATTTATGTAGACATGAATTAGGTCACACGAAAAAAAAACTGAAATATCTGGGAGGGAATTTCTGAACTTTATTTAAAAAAAAATGCATTTAAACAATGCCATCACGATAGCTGTCTCAAATTCTTCATTCAGTTCCCAGGCAGAGGAGCTGGTAGCTAGGTGTCCCTGTTCACTTAGCAGTAAGTAGGTACCTGGGTGTTAGCAGACTGTTGTGGGTGACAAGATTTAGTTTAGTGCTCGCCGTCTGCAGTCAGAGACTGCAGACGGCGAGCACTAAACATCTTCAACACACCCAGAGAAGACACTGCCGAGAAGAGATACATAGTCCTTCCCACCAACTCCATTGCCAAACATGTTTCCAACATCTTTGCCAAAACATCATTCCAAGTATCTACCTCCACAACCACGACCATCAAGGACATCACCAGTAGTAGGCAGGACAAGCCTCCATCCTCTGCAGGGGTATACATAATCCCTTGTAATGACTGCAACAAGTTATACGTGGGCGAAACATCAAGGGACCTCCAAACACGTATTTCAGAACACCAATACGCAAGCAGGTCTGACGACACAAGGAATGCCTGCGTACAACACCGTAATTCACACAACCACTTGATAAACTACAGAAACTCAAGACTTATCGCCACAGAAGACAACACCCAATACCGAAGAATCCTGGAATCATCACTTATTTCTATATCCGACAACTTCAACCAGAATAGTGGCTTCTATAACATAGCTGAACCACTTGCCAAGAAACTTCTTCATCGCTATCCCACATAAGAACACTGTAGAAGGTCTGCTCAAAAACTTGTCCAGTCTCCTTTCCAAGCTACCCAAGTTTTTAGACTCTACAACCCAACTCGGTACATCATCAGATGCAGCATTCTTCACCTGACCTCAGCCGGACTATAAATACTCGCGTTCCTTCCACCCCAGGTAGTTCTGTTTGTGACTTGAAAAAGCCCACTGTGTGGGCGAAACGTAGTCAATAAAGGATCACATTATACTGCATTTGTGTTTATATTGCCATCACTGATGTCAGCTATGATCTATATCACTCATATACTGCTAGAAATAAAGATTATTATAGAACAAAACGGCACAGTTCTGTGACTGGAACAATACACAAATAACCCACCCATGAGAGAATCATACTTCTGACGACGTTTTGGTAACTAGTTAGTGTCCCAAGTCGGACCGAAATGTCGTCATAAGTTCCATTCTCCTAGATGCCACTGTAACTTGTTCAGCTATCAAAACTTCGCAGCCTGGAGTTTACCTGGAGTTACCTGGAGAGAGTTCCGGGGGTCAACGCCCCCGCGGCCCGGTCTGTGACCAGGCCTCCTGGTGGATCAGAGCCTGATCAACCAGGCTGTTGCTGCTGGCTGCACGCAAACCAACGTACGAGCCACAGCCCGGCTGATCAGGAACTGACTTTAGGTGCTTGTCCAGTGCCAGCTTGAAGACTGCCAGGAGTCTGTTGGTAATCCCCCTTATGTGCGCTGGGAGGGAGTTGAACAGTCTCGGGCCCCTGACACTTATTGTATGGTCTCTTAACGTGCTAGTGACACCCCTGCTTTTCATTGGGGGGATGGTGCATCGTCTGCCAAGTCTTTTGCTTTCGTAGTGAGTGATTTTCGTGTGCAAGTTCGGTACTAGTCCCTCTAGGATTTTCCAGGTGTATATAATCATGTATCTCTCCCTCCTGCGTTCCAGGGAATACAGGTTCAGGAACCTCAAGCGCTCCCAGTAATTGAGGTGTTTTATCTCCGTTATGCGCGCCGTGAAAGTTCTCTGTACATTTTCTAGGTCGGCAATTTCACCTGCCTTGAAAGGTGCTGTTAGTGTGCAGCAATATTCCAGCCTAGATAGAACAAGTGACCTGAAGAGTGTCATCATGGGCTTGGCCTCCCTAGTTTTGAAGGTTCTCATTATCCATCCTGTCATTTTTCTAGCAGATGCGATTGATACAATGTTATGGTCCTTGAAGGTGAGATCCTCCGACATGATCACTCCCAGGTCTTTGACGTTGGGTTTCGCTCTATTTTGTGGCCAGAATTTGTTTTGTACTCTGATGAAGATTTAATTTCCTCATGTTTACCATATCTGAGTAATTGAAATTTCTCATCGTTGAACTTCATATTGTTTTCTGCAGCCCACTGAAAGATTTGGTTGATGTCCGCCTGGAGCCTTGCACTGTCTGCAATGGAAGACACTGTCATGCAGATTCGGGTGTCATCTGCAAAGGAAGACAACGGTGCTGTGGCTGACATCCTTGTCTATGTCGGATATGAGGATGAGAAACAAGATGGGTTCGAGTACTGTGCCTTGTGGAACAGAGCTTTTCACCGTAGCTGCCTCGGACTTTACTCTGTTGACGACTACTCTCTGTGTTCTGTTAGTGAGGAAATTATAGATCCATCGACCGACTTTTCCTGTTATTCCTTTAGCACGCATTTTGTGCGCTATTACGCCATGGTCACACTTGTCGAAGGCTTTTGCAAAGTCTGTATATATTACATCTGCATTCTTTTTGTCTTCTAGTGCATTTAGGACCTTGTCGTAGTGATCCAATAGTTGAGACAGACAGGAGCGACCTGTCCTAAACCCATGTTGCCCTGGGTTGTGTAACTGATGGGTTTCTAGATGGGTGGTGATCTTGCTTCTTAGGACCCTTTCAAAGATTTTTATGATATGGGATGTTAGTGCTATTGGTCTGTAGTTCTTTGCTGTTGCTTTACTGCCCCCTTTGTGGAGTGGGGCTATGTCTGTTGTTTTTAGTAACTGTGGGACGACCCCCTTGTCCATGCTCCCTCTCCATAGGATGGAAAAGGCTCGTGATAGGAGCTTTTGCAGTTCTTGATGAACACAGAGTTCCTTGAGTCTGGCCCTGGGGCAGAGTGCATGGGCATGTCATTTATCGCCTGTTCGAAGTCATTTGGCGTCAGGATAACATCGGATAGGCTTGTGTTAATCAAATTTTGTGGCTCTCTCATAAAAAATTCATTTTGATCTTTGACTCTCAGTCTGGTTAGCGGCTTGCTAAAAACTGAGTCATATTGGGACTTGAGTAGCTCACTCATTTCCTTGCTGTCATCTGTGTAGGACCCATCTTGTTTAAGTAGGGGCCCAATACTGGACGTTGTTCTTGATTTTGATTTGGCATAGGAGAAGAAATACTTTGGGTTTCTTTCGATTTCATTTATGGCTTTTAGTTCTTCCCGCGATTCCTGACTCCTAAAGGATTCTTTTAGCTTAAGTTCGATGCTTGCTATTTCTCTGACCAGTGTCTCCCTACGCATTTCAGATATATTGACCTCTTTTAGCCGCTCTGTTATTCTTTTCCGTCGCCTGTAAAGGGAGCGCCTGTTTCTTTCTATTTTACATCTACTCCTCCTTTTGCATACATCGAGTGCCACCGAGTTAATCTGTTCTAGGCATAAGTTGGGGTCTGTGTTGCTTAGTATATCTTCCCAGCTTATATCGGTTAGGACTTGGTTTACTTGGTCCCACTTTATGTTTTTGTTATTGAAGTTGAATTTGGTGAATGCTCCCTCGTGACTAGTCTCATTATGTCGGTCTGGGGCTCCACGCATACATGTCTGAACCTCAATTATGTTGTGATCTGAGTATATTGTTTTTGATATGGTGACATTTCTTATCAGATCATCATTGTTAGTGAAGATGAGGTCTAGTGTATTCTCCAGTTAGTAGGCTCTATTATTGCTGGTTTAAATTGAATTTTGTGCAGAGATTTAAAAGCTCGTGTGAGTGTGAGTTTTCATCAGAGCTGCCTCCTGGTGTTATTACTGCAACAATATTATTTGCTATATTCCTCCATTTTAGGTGCCTTAAGTTGAAATCCCCCAGGAGCAAGATGTTGGGTGCAGGAGCTGGAAGATTTTCCAGACAGTGGTCAATTTTTAACAGCTGTTCCTGGAATTGCTGGGATGTTGCATCCGGAGGCTTGTAGACTACCACAATGACTAGGTTTTGGTTCTCGACCTTTACTGCTAAAACTTCCACTACATCATTTGAGGCATTAAGCAGTTCTGTGCAAACATGTGACTCTGCAATGTACAGCCCCCCCCCCCCCCCCTTTTGCCTGTTCACTCTGTCACATCCGTATAGGTTGTAACCTGGGATCCATATTTCGTTGTCCAAGTGATCCTTTATGTGGGTCTCAGTGAAAGCCGCGAACATTGCCTTTGCCTCTGCAAGCAGTCCACGGATGAAAGGTATTTTGTTGTTTGTTGCTGGCTTTAGACCCTGTATATTTGCAAAGAAGAATGTTATCGGACTGGTGGTATTGTTGGTATTGGGGGGGAATTTTTTTCCGGCATTAATATCTGTATCTGTTGGTTTGGAGTGGAGGCCATCGACTGTGGTTCCACTCCAGGAATGACTGGATTTGGTGTAAGATTTCTGCCATTTCCTGCCAGTTTTTTTTCCTTCCTGGCACTAAAAATCCTCTCCCTCTTGAGTGGCTGTGGCTACCCAGGTTATCCCATGGCCTGGATGTTTTGTATCTTTTTGTCCCCTTTAGATGGTATGCCTGGCAATTTAAGTTATAGCACAGTCTTTCCTGTACTGAAGAGGTACACAGTTCAGGGTGAAAAAGCTTACAGGAAGGGAGTTTGCATTTTCCTGTTGTCATATGGGCATGGCATTTTCTAGGGTGGTCATAGTTGCACGTCCCATCTGTTTTTCCAGATTTCCCATGCCAGCAGATACCAAATGATACGAAATGTCGTCATAAGTTCCATTCTCCTAGATGCCACTGTAACTTGTTCAGCTATCAAAACTTCGCAGCCCAGTCCCTGGACCCATTATGTACCTCTGTAATCTTTTGACCACCGCCCATAGGATGGGTATGGGGTGCATGATAAAGATTTTAAACTATGTGCGGGTTATTTGTGTGTTATTATTGCTACGTACATTATTGAGAGAGAAGAGAGCACGCGAGGCAGAGTGTTTGTCCACGCTCTGGTAGTGTAGCTGATACTGTGTAATGTTGGCACCATTTTCCGGTGCCTCCCAAACCAGTGTCGCCTCTCCATCTGACACTCTAGTGGCATGAAGACCCTTCACAGGTGCTGGCAGCAAATCAACACCTGTGGAACAAAATATTCTTAGAATTAAACTGACTGAAGAAAACACAGCAATTTGTTATTGTGATGTTTGCAGGTATTGATGTGATGATGGCATCTCTCTCCTACACTAGTAAGTGTTTTGCCAGCCAGTGACATCTTTAGTCAGATACAGATAAGAACAGTGGAAAATGAGGAGATAATGTAATCAATCCCAGAGCCTGGAGTTGATGTGTCCCCTAAGATTGATGGATAGAAAACATCATCTCCAGGCTGAGGGACTGATTACCTCAAACACCTCTTCATCATCCACCATTCTTCTCTGTATTGGACTGAAGAAGCCACTGGCTGGTAAAACATTTCCAGAATAAGGATTCCCAAATGTTTCCCATGTGACTCAGTCATCTTATAGGTTTTATAAACCATGTACAAAAAAAAGGTGTATTAATGACAGTTTTTTTTATTTTCAAAGTACTTAATTTACGGTTATTTTACCTCTCTCGTGCGCCTTATATGCCAGAAAATAGGTAATTTAAATTTATTAAAGAATATCTTGAACTCTATAAATATTGTAATAGTGAATACACGAATGAGTGAACTTAAGAATTAAGTAAGACCTGAAGCTAACAAACCAGTAAGCTCTCCACTGTGTCAAGCCACTATGACACAGTGGACAGCGCACTGGCTTATCCTGGGTTCAATATGTTAGCTCTGGCTTGTCATGGGTGTTCAGAACCCACCATGTCTGGAATTCACTTATCTTCAGGTTTAATATCAACAAATTCTTTCTCGCAGTAAACTCACAAAAGACTCTGGCTGGTGTAAACAGTGCTGTATGTAAGGAAGCTAAATGCACTGCTTCCTGTTTGAACTGTAAAATAAGCTCATTGTCAAAGCTTGTTAACAAGCTTGTTCACTGACTTGTGTCTGTAACATCCTGGCAGATAGCAAATGATTGGCAAAATATACACCTTTCAGGATATTCACTTTACAAGAAGAAGTATTTCCCATTACATTATCTCTCGGTCCACAGCAGGATACCAACCAGCAAACTCACCATCAGAGTACACAGTACCAAATTTATCCACAACGCCAGATTCTGACTGTGTGGATAAAGTGCTGTGTACACTGATAACGAGTTTGCAGGTTCGAATCCTGCTGTGGACTGAGAGAAAATGTTTGTAAATAATTTCGCCTATTTGCGAATTGTTAAAATATGAACACACACTCCAGATGCAAAATAATGACTGACAGTTTTTTAAGTGGCTAAGAATCTTACGAAATATCATTAACACGACATTCAACATATCACATGATGAGACTCTGCTCACTTAAGCAAAGCTTATTCATGGTTTTACCATTGTTTTGTTGGCCTTTTTTAATCATTTACTCTGTTCTGAGGGATCCTTAGCAATTTAAAAAGCACTGCCAGCAACTGTAGTGTTTTTGGAGGTGGTCTGGACGGGTAGAGATCACATAACATCACTTACCTTCCTCTAAGCACATCATTATATTGCCTATGTAAGGCATACAGACAGCTGGAGTGACTTTGTTGGCAGTAAAGGAGCCGGAACAGAGGCTGGAGCAGGCAGCTGGCACTCCTCGTCTCTGGCAGCACGGCAGGTGGTTACGACCACCAACTGCACAGCGCAACAATTTCGTCAGCTCATTTGTGCACGTAACTATGAGAGCACGGACGTGTGACATGCGCGCATCGTAGTCGCATAACGGCATGCACCCGGGGCTGACGCTGACGCTGACGCAGCAGTTTGTGATGTTGTATGAGGAGTCGAGCAGTCGACGCTGGTGCTGTAGTGTTGGAGTATGGAAGAGCACGCGCTCCGACGGATCTCCCGTGCCGTGCTTGTTCACGGCCTGCACGTACACCTCGTACTCTGTGTCTGGACACAGATTCTCTAGCACGTACGGGGACTTCTCCGTGTACACTCCATGGTACGACACCTCCATGTTGTTGATGAACCTGGAATATTATTATTTTAACTAGGTTTCTACCCGTAATTTCAAAATGCCCACCTAGGCATGATTCCCATAGGCCTCGGTAGGTGGTGCTGTCCTGAGTCAGTGTGAGGGCGTGGCTACCTCCTTCGTTCTCACTCTCTCAGCACCTGCAGGTCAGGCAACATCATCTCTCCTTGACCTCTTGTTGTCTGGTGTACACCACAGTCAATAAACCACTGTCTAGTCTATGTGGTTTACAGCTTCCTGAATACCCCCTATTCACCATCTACCGTGTCAATTAACCCTGCAATAATGGACAAGGTGAAATGTCCAAACCAGCTACCTCTATGTACACTATTACAAATTGATGACAGCAGTGGGACCGACTATCATAGTAGGTTTAGCCTTGCTGCTAAGTATCAAGCACTAACAGCCCCAACGCTGACGACATAGTGAGCCTCGTATCTCCATGTTCGGTATGACCACCCTACTGGTTCATTAGTCAAGTCTAGTGTCCTTAACAGACCTGTTAAACTCTTTCTTGATTCAGGTTCTGTTGTAAATATGGTACAAGCAGTCTCTTCCAAGACGCTGGCCTGCCTGCAGCCATATTGACTCAGGCATCAGACATGTAGACCCCTCAGTGGTGTCTCGGATAGTTTCCTGGGAAAGAAACTGTGTCAAGTTCCTTGTAGCGGATGACACTGTCTTCTCTAATGACTTCTATGTTGGTCTCAAGACCATTGCAGACCTCAAGATTTGTCTTGATCCAGCTGATTGGAGAGCAAATTTTGATGATGCCGATATTCCATATTGAGATGTGCATAGGTTTCATCCTTTGCCATTCAGTTTCTGAGTATGTCCACTGTCTGGAGACCTTTGAAACAGGGTTTCCACAGCAGCAGAATTTCTAAGTGGTTGGACTCCTGCCCTGACCAACCCTGCAAAAGAGAGCATAGTTGCGAGTAGAAAGCAATCTGGGTATGCTCTGCACTAACTTCAGCTCTAGTCATGATGATAGTAATCAAGCCACAGGGGTATCCCTGAAAGTATGTGGCTGACTCATGTCATAGCTTCTCTGAGCAAAGTTGCAGCCTGGACAAAGAAGGACGTCACTTTGTTGGCAAACTCACTCACTCCTGTTACGGGGTTTGTGATACGAGCTCATGAAGGAAAAGACATGCTAGTTGACATTGATGAATGTCGAATCAAGGGTATGTCCCTGGAACCATCTTTGCACACTGTACCATGCGGTAAGCTGCAAACGATTGTCCTGAATGCTCATGTAGAGTCTTTACCCTGAGGAACACCACACTGGTAGACATCGTCAGATTTCCTCTCCTTGTGAGAATCGAAGATGAAGTACTGGAAGACCAGTTTTAGGTGCAGATCTTCCAGAATTTTCTACTGAATCTTTCAGCACTTGTCAAGTGCTGGAAGGGGACCTAGCTGTGACAGACTATCCTGACGAAGTCCCTGGACTTCTCAAGGTTTTTAACAGTGCTCGCTTCACAGTTGCACAAGTCAACCTAGGGGACTGACCCCCACTTATTTCTCATTGTATCCTTTACAGTTTGCCACATGCACAAAGTCTTTGCTGAATTGCCAAAATGCTCTATGGTGGAGTTATCAAGGACTACTACTTCTTGAAGTGCTTCACTTATTTGTGTTTCTAAGAAGGATGACTGGCATCCTATAATTGACTACAGGAAACTGAAAGCCTGTACAATCCCAGACCATTTTCCATTGCCAGTGCTGACCCATTGCAGAACATCAGTAATAAAAAATTTTCGACACAAGGTTTTTGGCAGATTCCTCTTAATGACCGGAGCAGAGAATTGATGGCATTCTATATGCCAAGTGATCACCATCTCAAAAGGATGCCATTTGGGTTAAGGAGCAGCCGAATAACATCCAGTTATTTGATGACAACAATCTCTCGTGCTCTCCTAGGAAAATACCCATATGGTTTAGCTAGACGATGTCATTGTGATGTCTCTTGACATACCTTCCCATCTTGTAAAATTTAAACGGGCATTGACAAAATTTGCTGAGGCTAGTCTCATCGTCAAGTTCTCCAACCACCAGTTTCTCAGAATGTGGTGTAGTCCACTATGCTTGTAAGGTCTCTTAGGAAGACCTAATTAAATGGTCACACCTTGCCTTGGCAAATAGCTGTCAGACATGCCTTTCGGCTTAAGTCTGAGGTCTTTTGTTCTTGACGGCATCAGATCTCAGCATCAGGTCAAAAGACCTGAGACTTAAGCTGAAAGGCGTGTCTGACAGCTATTTGCCAAGGCAAGGTGTCACCATTTAATTAGGTCTCCCTCAGACCTCACGAGCATAGTGGGCCACATCACAAGGAAAAGATCAAGTTTCTAGGCCACACAGTGACCCAGGAGAGCATAAAGACGAGTCCAAACTCTCTGCCATCGGGAAATTATTATTATTGCAGTATTATTAAAACGTAATAATTATGGTGAATTTATATCAACTATAGAACTTGCTCACATCTATAGAACCTATTAATCAATTAAATGAAGAACCTTAATATTTTCAAATACAGAACCTTGTACCTTTGAACTATAGAACCCCTCGGTCCTGAACTACAGACTTTAGCAGGTCTGAACTATAGAACCCCTCGGTCCTGAACTACAGACTTTAGCAGGTCTGAACTATAGAACCCCTCGGTCCTGAACTACAGACTTTAGCAGGTCTGAACTATAGAACCCCTCGGTCCTGAACTACAGACTTTAGCAGGTCTGAACTATAGAACCCCTCGGTCCTGAACTACAGACTTTAGCAGGTCTGAACTATAGAACCCCTCGGTCCTGAACTACAGACTTTAGCAGGTCTGAACTATAGAACCTTTCACTCATGAACTATATAATCTCAGTTATGAATTACAAACCCTTAATAGTCCTAAACTATATATAACTTTCATTCCAAGACTGAACCTTTGAGTGCTGAACTTACCATTTTGTAGCACACTCTCGGGAGGGAAGGATAGGTCTGAAATAGGCATGATAGGCCGTGACAGAGTCCCCTAGAAGAGTAGGGGTGGACCAGTGTACAAGGACGAAGGTGGGGTTAGTGTTGGTCACCTTAACGTGTCCCGGTGGACCGGGAAGCACGTTGTACCCCTTCAGCAGGCAGCTCCTGAAGTCGTTGAAGTAGTCGACGCATCTGAAGCAGAGAGAGAACACCACTGAAGCAGTGACATCACTAATGAAGCAGTGACATCACTACTAAAGCAGTGACATCACTACTAAAGCAGTGACATCACTAATGAAGCAGTGACATCACTACTAAAGCAGTGACATCACTACTAAAGCAGTGACATCACTACTAAAGCAGTGACATCACTACTAAAGCAGTGACATCACTACTAAAGCAGTGACATCGCTACTAAGCATGACATCACTACTAAAGCAGTGACATCGCTACTAAAGCAGTGACATCACTACTAAAGCAGTGACATCACTACTAAAGCACTGACATCACTACTAAAGCACTGACATCACTACTGAAGCAGTGACATCACTCCTACAGCAGAACAACAATTGGGTATACACACCTCTCGGTGTATACACACAGAGATACACACCATTCAGTGTACATAATCTTGCGCGTGCACACACACACATTAGGTGAGTACATGTGCATACACACACACACAGATAAGTTAATGAGGAGAATTAAATCAGATGAGGATCAGGCAGGACTACAAAGAGACCTGGACAGGCTGGACACCTGGTCCAGCAACTGGCTACTCGAATTTAACCCCGCAAAGTCATGAAGATTGGGGAAGGGCAAAGAAGACTGCAGACAGATTATAGGCTAGGTGGCCAAAGACTGCAAACCTTGCTCAAAGAGAAAGATCTTGGGGCGAGTTTAATACCAAGCATGTAACCAGTTAACTGCTGCAGCATATGGGTGCCTGGCAAACCTGAGAATAGCGTTCTGATACCTCAGTAAGGAATCGTTCAAGACACTGTACACAGTGTATGTCAGGCCCATACTGGAGTATGCAGCATCAGTTTGGAACCCACACCTGGTCAAGCACTTCAAGAAATTAGAGAAAGGTTCAGACATGTATGCGCAGAGCCCCAGACCGACATAATGAGATTAGTCACGAGCGAGAGAGCATTCACCAAATACAACTTCAATAACAAAAACAAAGTGGGACCAAGTAAACCAAATCCTAACTGATATAAGCTGGGAAGATATACTAAGCAACACAGACCCCAACTTATGCCTAGAACAGATTAACTCGGTGGCGCTCGATGTATGCACAAGGCTTATTCCTCTAAGAAAAAGGAGGAGTACATGTAAAATAGAAAGGGACAGGCGCTCCCTTTACAGGCGAGGGAAAAGAATAACAGAGCGGCTAAAAGAGGTCAATATATCTGAAAGGCGTAGGGAGACACTGGTCAGAGAAATAGCAAGCATCGAACTTAAGCTAAAGGAATCTTATAGGAGTCAGGAATCGCGGGAAGAACTGAAAGCCATAAATGAAATCGAAAGAAACCCAAAGTATTTCTTCTCCTATGCCAAATCAAAGTCGAGAACAACGTCCAGTATTGGGCCCCTACTTAAACAAGATGGGTCATACACAGATGACAGCAAGGAAATGAGTGAGCTACTCAAGTCCCAATATGACTCAGTTTTTAGCAAGCCGCTAACCAGACTGTGAGTCGAAGATCAAAATGAATTTTTTATGAGAGAGCCACAGAATTTGGTTAACACAAGCCTATCTGATGTTATCCTGACGCCAAATGATTTCGAACAGGTGATAAATGACATGCCCATGCACTCTGCCCCAGGGCCAGACTCACGGAACTCCGTGTTCATCAAGAACTGCAAGAAGCCCCTATCACGAGCTTTTACCATCCTATGGAGAGGGAGCATGGACACGGGGGTCGTCCCACAGTTACTAAAAACAACAGACATAGCCCCACTCCACAAAGGGGGCAGTAAAGCAACAGCAAAGAACTACAGAACGATAGCACTAACATCCCATACCATAAAAATCTTTGAAAGGGTCCTAAGAAGCAAGATCACCACCCATCTAGAAACCCATCAATTACACAACCCAGGGCAACATGGGTTTAGAACAGGTCGCTCCTGTCTGTCTCAACTATTGGATCACTACGACAAGGTCCTAGATGCACTAGAAGACAAAAAGAATGCAGATGTAATATATATAGACTTTGCAAAAGCCTTCGACAAGTGTGACCATGGCGTAATAGCACACAAAATGCGTGCTAAAGGAATAACGGGAAAAGTCGGTCGATGGATTTACAATTTCCTCACTAACAGAACACAGAGTAGTAGTCAACAGAGTAAAGTCCGAGGCAGTTACGGTGAAAAGCTCTGTTCCACAAGGCACAGTACTTGCTCCCATCTTGTTCCTCATCCTCATATCTGACATAGACAAGGATGTCAGCCACAGCACCGTGTCTTCCTTTGCAGATGACACCCGAATCTGCATGACAGTGTCTTCCATTGCAGACACTGCAAGGCTCCAGGCGGACATCAACCAAATCCTTCAGTGGGCTGCAGAAAACAATATGAAGTTTAACGATGAGAAATTTCAATTACTCAGATATGGCAAACACGAGGAAATTAAATCGTCATCGGAGTACAAAACAAATTCTGGCCACAAAGTAGAGCGAAAAACCAACGTCAAAGACCTGGGAGTGATCATGTCGGAGGATCTCACCTTCAAGGACCATAACATTGTATCAATCGCATCTGCTAGAAAAATGACAGGATGGATAATGAGAACCTTCAAAACTAGGGATGCCAAGCCCATGATGACACTCTTCAGGTCACTTGTTCTATCTAGGCTGGAATATTGCTGCACACTAACAGCACCTTTCAAGGCAGGTTTGTGGGGGGGAAATTCCTGACCTAGTAAAATGTACAGAGAACCTTCACGGCGCGCATAACGGAGATAAAACACCTCAATTACTGGGAGCGCTTGAGGTTCCTGAACCTGTATTCCCTGGAACGCAGGCAGGAGAGATACATGATTATATACACCTGGAAAATCCTAGAGGGACTAGTACCGAACTTGCACACGAAAATCACTCACTACGAAAGCAAAAGACTTGGCAGACGATGCAACATCCCCCCAATGAAAAGCAGGGGTGTCACTAGCACGTTAAGAGACCATACAATAAGTGTCAGGGGCCCGAGACTGTTCAACTGCCTCCCAGCATACATAAGGGGGATTACCAACAGACCCCTGGCAGTCTTCAAGCTGGCACTGAACAAGCACCTAAAGTCGGTTCCTGACCAGCCGGGCTGTGGCTCGTACGTTGGTTTGCGTGCAGCCAACAGTAACAGCCTGGTTGATCAGGCTCTGATCCACCAGGAGGCCTGGTCACAGACCGGGCCGCGGGGGCGTTGACCTCCGGAACTCTCTCCAGGTATACTCCAGGTAAGGATAGTTCCAGAGCTAAGGGGAATGTCCTACAAAGAAAGGTTGAGGGAAATCGGCCTGGCGACACTGGAGGACAGGAGGGTTAGGGGAGACATGATAACAACATACAAAATACTGCGTGGAATAAATACGGTGAACAGAAACAGGATGTTCCAGAGATGGGACACAGAAACAAGGGGTCACAATTGGAAATTGAAGACTCAGATGAGTCACAAGAATGTTAGGAAGTATTTCTTCAGTTATAGAGCTGTCAGGTGAATCAGCAGTGATTAGTAGCAGGAAATAGTCTAAGCAAGTGATGATAGTGGCAGGAGAGAACCTATACACAGTAAGACAGAGTATTGATAAAGCCATGGAGCAGGAGAAACCAAGCGAACAGTAAAGCCGGCCAGAGTTGCAACTATGACCCTGTAACCACATATAGCGAGTACACACACACCACACACACACACACACACACACAACACTTCAATATACTCAGACATATACACTCATTTATATTTACCTGAAATACTTATAATCAATCTTAGTGACATTGCCAGTGCAGAGTTCCACACAGAGAGGAGGCATGCCCCGGGCCTTGCAACAGTCTGAGTGATCCACATCATTGGCCAGACAGGAAAATGCTTCCGTGGCCCAGGGTGCACACACGATCATATCCGGCTCCGTTATATACTTGTTGCTGGGGTCACACAAGTTCCTCAGGCACCTGCAAAAGTCGTACCTCAACTTCAAACTGCGTATGTTCTCAAATGTACCTCCAGGGAGAAGACATATATATATATATATATATATATATATATATATATATATATATATATATATATATATATATATATATATATCATATTCACACACTTCCGTAGAGTGAAGCATATATACCTAAAGGATGAGAATATATAGTATACACCGAGTATACACCTCCATGGAGGCGAGTATACATACCTACATGAAGCCAAATATATATACCTCCAGGGTAGCGAGTACATACGCCTCAGGTCATGTATACCTCCAGGGAAGCCTAGTATATATACCTCCAGAGGCTAAGTATATACCTCCACGGAGGCCATGTATATATATACCTCCACGTAGGGAAAGTATATATGCACCTCCAGGAATACACCAGTGTGCGTATATACCTCTCATAATTGACCTCAGAATTTTACAAATATTCCTGAAGAATATTTTCTATGGCTAAATTTATATGTTTCTTCTGCCGCAGGTCAAATATCTCCACAAAGATATTAATAAAAGAATTCTGATTATATATATATATGTCGTGCTGAACAGGTAAAACTGCGCAAGTTATAATAAGGTCAGGTAAGTTTTCTAAGGTTCTTTTGGTACAAAGTTATTAATTTTTACATTAACATAAATGGAAAAAATATATCTTTCAACGTATAAGAGAAAATTTTAGAAAGGACTTAATTTTAAATGAGATTCTTGCATTGCTAATACCTTTAACATATTCTGACAATATATAATATATATATATATATATATATATATATATATATATATGAATCCTTCATAAATGTTACTTTGCTCACACTCCAACAGCACATCAAGTATTAAAAACCATTTGTCTCCATTCACTCCTATCAAACACCTCACGCATGCCTGCTGGAAGTCCAAGCCCCTCGCACACAAAATCTCCTTTACCTCTCCCTCAGCTAACAAAACTTTGGAGTCCATCCCTGACCAATTATGTACCTTAAACCTTTTACTACACGCCCACAGATGGTATGCGGTGCATAATAAACATATAAACTAAAACCTCCTCCCTCCAACCTTCCTAGGCCGACCCCTACCCCGCCTTCCTTCCACTACAGACTGATACACTCTTGAAGTCATTCTGTTTCGCTCCATTCTCTCTACATGTCCGAACCACCTCAACAACCCTTCCTCAGCCCTCTGGACAACAGTTTTGGTAATCCCGCACCTCCTCCTAACTTCCAAACTACGAATTCTCTGCATTATATTCACACCACACATTGCCCTCAGACATGACATCTCCACTGCCTCCAGCCTTCTCCTCGCTGCAACATTCATCACCCATGCTTCACACCCATATAAGAGCGTTGGTAAAACTATACTCTCATACATTCCCCTCTTTGCCTCCAAGGACAAAGTTCTTTGTCTCCACAGACTCCTAAGTGCACCACTCACTCTTTTCCCTCATCAATTCTATGATTCACCTCATCTTTCATAGACCCATCCGCTGACACGTCCACTCCCAAATATCTGAATACATTACCTCCTCCATACTCTCTCCCTCCAATCTGATATCCAATCTTTCATCACCTAATCTTTTGTTATCCTCATAACCTTACTCTTTCCTGTATTCACTTTTAATTTTCTTATTTTGCATACCCTACCAAATTCATTATATAATATATATATATATATATATATATATATATATATATATATATATATATATATATATATATATATATATATATCAACACACACTATAATATATATATTTTTAACATCATTCAATCAATCACTGTCTTGCCACAAATGTGTTGATATCACAGTTCAGATTATACTCTGAACTGCAACATCCTCACACATCCGTCAGAGTTCAGGTACTGTACTTTCCACCTCCAGGACTCAAGTCCGGCTAACCAGTTTCCCGGAATCCCTTCAAAAAAATGTTGCTTTACTCACACTCCAACAGCACCTGAAGTCATAAACACCATTTGCCTCCACTCAATCCTACTGCACACACCCACACACACACACACACACACACACACACACACACACATACAAATGGATGTGTAGCCTCCTTACATACAGAACCTCCTTTACCCTCCAGTCTTTCCTAGGATGACCCCCTACCCAGTCTTCCTTCCACTACAGATATTTACACCCTCTAAGTCATCCTATTTTGTTCCATCCTCTCTAAATGTCCAAGCCACCTCAGCAACTTCTCAGGTCTCTGGATAATACTTTCATTAACCCTGCACCTTCTAATATCCAAGCTACTAATTCTCTGCACAATATTTGCACAACACTGCCTTCAGACTCATGTCCACTGCCTCCTCTGTTAGTTATATTTTTGCACCTACCATCCTGTGGGCGGTAACCTCCTTGCTGCAACGTTGAAAATCCATGCTTCATGTGCAACAAGTCTTGGTATCACTATAATCTCATACATTCCCTTCTTTGCTTCCATGGACAACGTTCTTTGTCTCCACAGACTCCTCAGTGCGCCACTCACCCCTCATCAATTCTATGATTCACCTCGTCTTTCATAGACCCGTCTGCTGACAAGTCCACTCCCAAATATCTGAATACATTCACTTCCTCCATTCTCCCTCCCTACAGTCTGATATTCAGTCTCTCATTGTCTATATTTTTTTTGTGGTTTAAGGTTGTATACTGAGGTTAAAGGTACCTAATGCAGTTTAATTTAGTGTAAGTTGATTTAAGTTTACCTGTAATGTTGACACCTTTGTCAGAACAACAGCCGACGATGTCAGGAAGTTCTGGGTGTACTGGTTCAGTCTTGTTGGCCTGCTGCGCCTCAGTCAGCACTCTCAGCTTGTACTGGGGCAGCGAGGAGCCGTGTCTGTTGACTGACACAACGGACACTTCATACCACGTCAGCGGTGACAGGTTCCTGATGGTGGCGTGCGTCTGACTGGCTGATACCTGAGTGTCAGACCAAGGTGGGTGGTGAGAGCCAACAGGAGACATAACATGGAATATTATATATATATAGTCAATAATTATAAAGTAATATACAGAACTTTTAAATATTATATTTTAAAATATTTCTGTGTAGTTAAATAATTCTCTCCTTAATGTTTTAACTAGTAGTTTGGACCAGCAATTTAATCTTCTCTAACCACAAAAACAGGAATATTTTACTGCCTATCCAACTTACACACATTGATACATTTACAAAATGCACGAGCACATTCTAGTATACAACCTATTTTTTTATTTCTTAATAGTTTTGTTCTTGTTTATTCATTATTCTCCAATGGGATTGGAACTGAATTCTTCCTGGCAGTGAAGCTGCGTTCGTAAGAGGCGACTAAAATGCCGGGTATGCAAGGTAGTAACCCTTTACTGTAATATATATATTAAGAAAATATAATATAAATATATTTATATTTATGTGGGTCATCCTGCTTGGTATAGAGAAGCACCCTGTAACAATTGTTTACAATTCGAACTGGTCTTTTCTGTCTCATAAACACGCAAGATAACAGGTAAATCTTACTGCTTCTACTTACACACAGGTCACATTACACATGCACGAGCACATTTTAGTATACACACCTGAGTTTTCTTATATTTTCTTAATAGTTCTTGTTCTTGTTTATTTCCTCTTATCTCCATGGGGAAGTGGAACAGAATTCTTCCTCCGTAAGCCATGCGTGTCGTAAGAGGCGACTAAAATGCCGGGAGCAAAGGGGTAGTAACCCCTTCTCCTGTATGTATTACTAAGTGTAAGAAGAAGAAAAACCAAATATATTTTCTTTTTTTGTGGGGGGGGGGGCATCCTGCCTCGGTAAGAGGCAGATGGTACGTTGAAAAAAAATACTGGATTGTTTAACAATTCGCAAACAGGCGAAATTATTTACAATTTCTCAGTCCACAACAGTGTTCGAACCTGTGCACTCTTCATCACAGTACACAGTAATTTAGCCACACAGCCAGACTCCAGACAAGTATTGGCACTTAGCCAAAGCTTAACGCTATATCCCATACCCTGGAGCACCAGGAAGAGTGCACAGGATCAAGTCTTGCTGCCGACTGAAAGATAATGTTTGCAAATAATTTCGCCCATCTGCAAATTGTTAAACATTTCAACATCCCTTTCGAATTTCACTGCATGTGGCAGGATTTGATTTAATAATTTATTACAATCCAGGTGTCCCGGGGTATAGGAATGACCGTCTAGCTTCGGCTAGGTGCCCATACCTGTCTGGAGTTTGGTTGTGTGGCTAAAGTACTATGTTCTTTGATGCAGTGTGTTCAATTTCGAATTCTGCTGTGGGATACACACACACACACACACACACACACACACACACACACACACGTCCAGCACTGTGTGTACCGATCCAGTAGGATTATGGATTACTGTGACGCCATGTTGCAGTGTTTGCTAACATGGTTCGATCAATCATCCCTCCCTGACTAGGGATTATCTGGATAATAGTGAGGGATACTTGACAAGGAATAATCCCGAGGGAGTCCTGGCAACTGTTGGCAGTGGTGACACCAATATGATTCAGAGCAACATTTATCCCTAAATGGACACACAACATCCTAAAATGATAAGCAACAGGCCAAGACATCTCTTGGATAAAAGAATGATTGCACAGTACCTGTGGTACGTGACGCATAAGACACCTATTGTCAAAAGGAGATAGCTCCCTACCACCTAATTATGGGCCAGTCTAATTTCAGGTATGAGGAAATGAATGGACTCGGTAACTGGCGATGAGGTCTGAAGCTTGAAGCACTGAACTTTATCAACAAATCTGGCCACTGTTTGGTAAACTGATATTTTTTTGCCATTTAAATTTACTAACCGTTTCCATTAAGTTGTTTGAAGAGGAAAATCAAGATAACGAATATAGCCGTGTGTATACACTGCAGTGTGTATACACTGCAGTGTGTATACACTGCAGTGTGTATACACTCTGTTCTGGTCCCCATTTTACAGAATGGACATAAATGTGCTGGAAAATATACAGAATAGAATGAGGAAGTTGATCCCATGTATCAGAAATCTTGAGGGTAGACTAGGGGCACTGTATCCTACGATGATAGACTGGAGGTACTATTTATCCTACAAGGATAGATGATGGCACTGTCTAACATACGAGGATATACTGAGGCCCTGAATCTACACTCTCTAGAAAGGCGTAGAATTAAGGGGGATATGATTGAGGTGTATAAATGGAAAAAAGAAATAAATAAAAGGAATGTAAATAACTTGCTAAAAATATCTAACCAAGACAGGACTCGCAGTAATGGTTTCAAGTTGGAAAAATTTAGATTTATAAAGGATATAGGAAAACACTGGTTTGGTAATAGAGTTATGGACGAGTGGAACAAACTCCCGAGTAGCGTCATCCAAGCTAAAACCTTGCGTAGCTCTAAATATAACTTGGACAAATACACGAGTGTGAGTTGAACTTGCCTAGCATGGGCCAGTAGTTCTTATATTTTATGTACTAATACTTCATCTATAACCAGTACAACTACTACTGTTGCTATCACTACTACTACTACTAGTAACAATGTGTGCTGGTACCCACCTTGACCTGTAGTCTCTTGGGCAGGTAGAGCAGGTCATCCTGGGTGTCCAGGTCAGTGACCCCACTACCTGTCACCTCCATCACCTCCACTGGGGGGTCGAACCTGCGGACCCGCAAATGGAGAAGTTTTAATTGAAAGTGATTGTGGCTGACAGGCGAGAGTGAGTGAATATGATGAGGTCTGACAGGGAATATGGTGAGGACTGGCAGCGTAAAACAGGAAAGCTTCGTTTTAAAATAGTGAAATGAATGGGATGGTAATCTGCTGCTGTCAGTATAGCGGATGGTATTACTGTACTCACCTACCTAGTTGAGGTTGCGGGGGTCGAGTCCGAGCTCCTGGCCCCGCCTCTTCACTGATCGCTACTAGGTCACTCTCCCTGAGCCGTGAGCTTTATCATACCTCTTCTTAAAGCTATGTATGGATCCTGCCTCCACTACATCGCTTCCCAAACTATTCCACTTACTGACTACTCTGTGGCTGAAGAAATACTTCCTAACATCCCTGTGATTCATTTGTGTCTTCAGCTTCCAACTGTGTCCCCTTGTTACTGTGTCCAATCTCTGGAACATCCTGTCTTTGTCCACCTTGTCAATTCCTCTCAGTATTTTGTATGTCGTTATCATGTCCCCCCTATCTCTCCTGTCCTCCAGTGTCGTCAGGTTGATTTCCCTTAACCTCTCCTCGTAGGACATACCTCTTAGCTCTGAGACTAGTCTTGTGGCAAACCTTTGCACTTTCTCTAGTTTCTTTACATGCTTGGCTAGGTGGCCCGGTGGCCTGGTGGCTAAAGCTCCCGCTTCACACACGGAGGGCCCGGGTTCGATTCCCGGCGGGTGGAAACATTCGACACGTTTCCTTACACCTGTTGTCCTGTTCACCTAGCAGCAAACAGGTACCTGGGTGTTAGTCGACTGGTGTGGGTAGCATCCTGGGGGACAAGATTAAGGACCCAATGGAAATAAGTTAGACAGTCCTCGATGACGCACTGACTTTCTTGGGTTATCCTGGGTGGCTAACCCTCCAGGGTTAAAAATCCAAACAAAATCTTATCTTATCTCTTAGGTGTGGGTTCCAAACTGGTGCAGCATACTCCAATATGGGCCTAACGTACACGGTGTACAGGGTCCTGAACGACTCCTTATTAAGATGTCGGAATGCTGTTCTGAGGTTTGCCAGGCGCCCATATGCTGCAGCTGTTATTTGGTTTGTGTTTGTGTTTGTGAGCGCATGTGTGTTCATATACGTGTACTCACCTAATTGTGGTTGCAGGAGTCGATACTCAGCTCCTGGCCGTGTGTGCGTGCGCGAGATCAGGACTGATCAAGGATCAGTCCTGAACCTTGGGGGACTGATCCTTAGGGTATTATCCTTGGGGTCTGTTCCTTTAGGAACTAATCCTTGGGGACTGACCCTTGGGACCAGTCCCCAAGGAACAGACCCCAAGGAATAAACCCAAGGATCAAATTTAGCCCATCCCTATTCAGTAACTGAACCAAGAGCTGCAGTTCAACCCCAAATAGGTGCCAGGGACCTATTTACTACAACACAAATAGGCACTTGCAAATAAGTTAATAGGTGTCAAAGGTTCCTATTTACTGACGTTAATCATTGGAGCCTAGATTAGGTATCTGCAAATAGATAAATAGGCGTCAGGGTACCTATTTGAATAACCTACTGGAGCCTAACTAGGAATTTCAAACAGGTTCAAGGGGTACCTACTTATGCAACTCGCTACAACTCAAATAGGTAAAAAGGTTTAATAGGTGCCCAGGATGCCTACCTACATTACTGCTTGAATAGGTAAATAGGCACCATGGGTACCTATTTAGATTGCAGCTCAAATAAGTACTTACCAAAACATAAATAGGTGCCAGGGTGCCTATCTACGTTACAGTTTACTTACAAATAGGTAAATAGGTGCTAAGGGTACCTATTTACGTGACTCACTTCGTTATGGTGGTAACGTTGATGACGTAATACTCAGGTGGAGGGGTGTTAGGTGCCGGGTGGTCCCAGGTCACCTCTATGGAGGTAGGTCCCAGCACTTCCACGCTAGGTGACTCGGCACTCATAGGCAGGATTTCTGTAGGTACCCACAAGTACCTAATTACCGGGATATATACTCACAAGCACCTAATTACTCGAACATGTACCCACATGTACCTAATTACTAGGATATATGCCCACAAATACCTAATTACTAGGATATATACACACATGTACCTCATTACTGGGCTATATACCCAAAATTACCTATTTACTGGGATATTTATCCACAAGTACCTAATTACTTGTAGATATATACACAACATACTCACCCACACACTCAGATATACACTCAACATACACTTAATATACACAGATATACACAAGGAATACTCACCTACACCCTCAGATATACACATGAGTGTGACCTCGGTGTATGCAGTACACGAGAACTGGGACTGTATACTGTCGTCTTGTATAGTATACTCTCCACGACACAGGTCCTGACAGATGTCAGGAACCCTCTCCCTCTCACAGCACGGCACATGATTACGCAAATCTGCTCAGGCGTCAGAAAGTAGGTGTTAGTTAAGTGTCGTGTAGGCAGTACTGAGGTTTAAAGTCTGTCAACTACTCGGGGGTCATTAAGGCTGGTTGGTTAGTGGGGTTTAAAGCCTATCTACTACACTTGGATCATTAAGGTTGGTTAAAGGGATTTAAAGTCTATCTACTACATTAGGGCCAATAAGACTGCATGTCATCGTATACCACAAGTGTATATAAACTGACATATACACCTCTCAGTGTATATACACATACCCCTCTTGTATATACACTGAGATATACATTTCTCACTGTAAAAACATTTAGATATAAACTCCCCTAAGGGTATTTACACTGAACTGTATACACCTCAGTGTACACAATGAAACATTAACTATTCAGTGTAAATCCTCTGGGATACACATCTTTCAGTGTATCCCAGAGTATTTACACTGCTTATCCCAGTGAATATAGCGATATATACATCTGTGTAAGTACACAATGTATATACCTCTCAATGTATATCTCGTGTCTCAACAACACACTGACACATACAAGATACTGTAGAACCCTGATGTTTGAACTTAGTGGTTCCCAGGTGGTGCTGGAACTGCGAAAAACTGGATGTGGGAGACAGTATATGCCAGGCTTTGTCAGCCTCACACACTGGAGGATGTTGAACTGACTCTTCCAAAAGTCTCTGAGAGTTAGGTCAGTGTCAGAGGTCACTTCAAAGCACTTCTGAAACAGCTTTTCTCAAAATCTAATTTTTACAATTGAATTTTAAAAAAGTCACTGCGTTCGTACTCCAGAAAATTGTTCAAAGACCAGGTCAACATTTTCTGAACAAAACTGTTCATATTCCGGTTTGTTCCAGGTTTGGTGTGTCCCAACACTGGGGTTCCACTATATAAGTATTATTTTACTGTTGATTAAACGGCACATCGCCTAAGAACAATTTGTATAGATAATTATGTAAATAATTATAATTCATTTATATCTATTTATATAAATTTACGTAAAATTCGGCAATATAATGATACGTTGTTGGGTTAATTTTGGTGGAAATTTACAAACTTATAAACCAAAAATTTACATAACTTATTTACGGTAGAGTTAAAGAATTGGTTGACTCAGAACGAAAGCCGCATGGTTCCTGGGCCCATTATCGATACCATGCCTAACCCTTCTAGGGTAGGGTAGGTGCCTGAGCCCGAGCCTTTAGCTCATAAGACTGTCATTCCCATTTGCCCCCTTGGGGTGGGGATGGCAGACCAGAGAGGTCTAGCTTGTGGCTAGGCCTGGGGACAGTTGGTCCCAAAGATGAGGAGGTACTTGTGCCTCCTCCCATGGGAGAGACTTAGGTCTCAGACACTCCCTAAAGAGGGAGCCAAGGCCGGGCCACCACTTGGAAAAGGCCCGGGCCGGGAGAATACCGGCTAATCTTTAATAATAATAATAATAATAATGGGCCCATTAAGTACCTCTGTAATCTTTTTATTACCATCCACATGATGGGTATGGGGTGCATATTAAACATATTAAAGTAACTAAATTTAGTGAAATCATCGAGTTCCATTCGTAAGTAAATTTATTGAGTTTCCCCTCGAAAGTTAATTTCTGTTCCCTCAAAGTGACTAGAATTCCCCTCATAAGTCAATCTAGTTCCCTCATAAGTGAATTGCATTCCCTCATGAGTGAATTAACCAAGTGACCCTCGTAGGTGAATTAGCCGGGTTCCCATGAAAAAGATAATCGAGTGTCCCACATATATGAATTAATCAAGTGTTCCCCCCATAAGAGCAACAACTTACCTGCCATGCACTTGACAATGAGGGGAAAGTGTGATTCACAAGCCTCTGGATCAATGCCAGTGTTTCCCTCGAGAATGTTGTGGATGGCACAGAACCCCAGGCACTGTGGCAACACCCCGTTTTCTATGCAGCAAGTAGTGTAGTTGTGTGGGGACCGCAGTGCTGTTGCCTGTGCTGTTGTCTTGTTTCCCGCTGCAACCACTGCAACACCAACATTATTTGCAACAATGTTGATAATAGATAAATTTGAAATAGAGAGCAAGATGTGATTGAAAATTTAGAATACTGCAAACAAAATATGTGTAATAGTATACAAATTTCTAATGTTTATATCAAAATAAAAAGCATTTTGAATAACAAAAATTGGAATTACAATTAAAAAATAATATATAAAATTCACACTTGGTTTACACAGTTACAAAAATTCGAAATAAAAAACATTTTGATTAAAAAAATTAAATTTATGCTTAAAAAAATTTGATAATATGCAAGTCACATTCTTTGGTTACAAAATTAATTACATTTGAAATAAAAAGAATTTTGACCATTGAAAGTTCACGAATATGCATGGAATTAACCAAAAAAATAAAAATCCGAGATAATTGTCAAAGATAATTTTATATAATTGCCATAAAATCCACCAGAGGAAATATTTAATATAAATGTAATATTTTAGCCAATAATAACAAGTCTGTCCTAGCTTAATGCAAATTAAAATATACTATCATAGTTTCCCCTACAAATAATTTTAATGAAAGCCAAAATATATTATCATAGTTTACCCTAGAAGTTAATTTATATATATTAAAGAAACTATCACAGTTTACCCTGGGAATTATTTTAACTAAGTCGGACTATAATAGTTTAGCCTTTGAATTAATGTAATACGAACTAAAAAGACTGATAATTTCACTAATAAATTATTTTAACACAAAGAAAAAAACATTATTGTTTCACCTAAAAATATTTTAAGTCAAACTATAATAGACTTTCATAGTTTCCCCTAGAAATTTAAAAAATAGTAAATATTAGGTATAACTTTAATAATAGTTCTAGAGAGGCCTAGCTTCTAGGCCTAGGGACAGTTGGTCCCAAAGATGAGGGGGTCCTTGTGCCTCCTTCCATGGGAGACTTAGGTCTCAGACACTCCCTAGAGAGGGAGCCAAGGCCGGGCCGGGAGAATACCGGCGAATCTTTAATAATAATAAATAAATAGGCACATTACATATTAATGATTGTAATCATAACCTATGATTTTTAAGAGTGGACCGGTAGTCCTCGGTCAGATGACCATGTACGTAGCAGACACCATGTACGTACCAGAGATCATGTACGTATCAGAAACCATGTACCTTCCAGAGACCACGTACATACCAGAGATCACGTACGCACCAGAGACCATGTACGTACCAGAGACCACGTACGTACCAGAGACCATGTAGAGGGAGGTGAGAGAGGGGTTAGAGTTGATTTCGCACACGTACACTCCACGGTCTGAGACCATAGCGTTCTTGATGGCCAGGACCCAGACGTCACCACCTGCTGGGAGGTAATAATATAAATTTCCACAATGTGCATTATTTTGATGGAATATATTATATATATATATATATATATATATTATATTATATATATATATTATATTATATATATATATATATATATATATATATATATATATATATATATATATGCAGTAATCGCGACAACAGCCACAGGAGGAGTTGAATAATAACTCTAGGCCTTTCGTTTGCAAATCAACACTTCATCAGGAGCTTGCAGTGTTGCATAAACGAGCAGGAAGACCCACAGGAGACAAAACTGTGAAAGAGTGGGTAGTTTCACATCTCGACTTCTAGTTGAGGTTCTCTTCAGTAGAATACAAAGCAATGAGGAGAATACACAGGAATATATACTGTCAGGGGAGTACATTGAGCCTCCTGGATTCAATAGTCTGTTACATAACACCCCTTAAAGGCTGGCATTACCCAGAGAAGTGAATATCTCGTGGTGAGGTGGGGAATATTGTCTGGTCTGTCTCTCCTATGGTATAGAAATAGGTATAGGCCTATTTAGGCTGTGTAAACATACATTCTTGATATTTATAATCGGCGGTAATTGTATCTGAAGGCATTGTGTTGGGCCTGGTGTTAGATGTGCCTAGTAAGACTAGGTGTTAGATGTGCATAGTAAGACTAGGTGTTAGATGTGCCTAGTAAGACTAGGTGTTAGATGTGCCTAGTAAGACTAGGTGTTAGATGTGCCTAGTAAGACTAGGTGTTAGATGTGCCTAGTAAGGATAGGTGTTAGATGTGCCTAGTAAGACTAGGTGTTAGATGTGCCTAGTAAGACTAGGTGTTAGATGTGCCTAGTAAGACTAGGTGCTAGGTGGTGCTTGTTAAAACTAGGTGCTAGGTGATGCTTGTTAAAACTAGGTGCTAGGTGGTGCTTGTTAAAACTAGGTGCTAGGTGGTGCCTAGTAAAGCTAGGTGCTAGGTGGTGCCAAGCGAGACTTGGTGTTAGGCGGTGCCTAGTAAAACTAGGTGCTACCTAGTAAAACTAGGTGCTACCTAGTAAAATTAGGTGCTAGGTGGTGCCTAGTAAAACTAGGTGCTACCTAGTAAAATTAGGTGCTAGGTGGTGCCTAGTAAAACTAGGTGCTAGGTGTTTTGTCAATAAAGACTGATTTCAATTTATGATTATTTCCTGGTATGCGAGTCTTCTAGGATGTTCATAATGTTGATGTTCATAATGTTGATGTTCATAATGTTGATGTTCATAATGTTGATGTTCATAATGTTGATGTTCATAATGTTGATGTTATAATGTTGATGTTCATAATGTTGATGTTCATAATGTTGATGTTCATAATGTTGATGTTCATAATGTTGATGTTCATAATGTTGATGTTCATAATGTTGATGTTCATAATGTTGATGTTCATAATGTTGATGTTCATAAGTTGAGTTCAAATTTTGATTGTTCATAATTTTGTGTTCATAATGTTGATGTTCATAATGTTGATGTTCATAATGTTGATGTTCATATGTTGATGTTCATAATGTTGATGTTCATAATGTTGATGTTCATAATGTTGATGTTCATAATGTTGATGTTCATAATGTTGATGTTCATAATGTTGATGTCGGTGCCGTCCCAGTGTGGTTGTTGATGTGCTGAAACATGGAACATCTTGCTAACAACGTTAATGTTGAGTGATCTTGGACACAAGATCACTCCCCCTCCCATCCTCTCACTGTCATCCACATAGCTGGACCAGATATGTGGCTGACCTTCTATACTTATCGTCTAAGAATATAGATATAAACCAGGACCTACTCTAGTAAGTCTAACAAGTCATTGCCATCATTATATTGTCTAATAATTAAAATGAACCAAGTATTTAAATCCTAAATATGCAAAAAATCAAGAGATATCTGATATGTACACTGTTATTAATGACAGAGTTAAATGTTTAGTATTAAGATAAGATAAGATAAGATTTCGTTCGGATTTTTAACCCCGGAGGGTTAGCCACCCAGGATAACCCAAGAAAGTCAGTGCGTCATCGAGGACTGTCTAACTTATTTCCATTGTGGTCCTTAATCTTGTCCCCCAGGATGCGACCCACACCAGTCCACTAACGCCCAGGTACCTATTTGCTGCTAGGTGAACAGGACAACAGGTGTAAGGAAACGTGTCGAAATGTTTCCACCCGCCGGGAATCGAACCCGGGACCTCCGTGTGTGAAGCGGGAGCTTTGGCCACCAGGCCATCGGGCCTGGGCTCGGTATTTGCAACCCAGAGTTCATGAGGGAGTTGAATGATAGCTCTAGGCCCTCCGTGTTGCAATCAGCACGTCAGGAGCTTGTAATATTGCAGAAAAAGGATGAATTCCAGGCATATACGTTCAGAGGAAGAGGGCATTATTTTTCCAACATTATTTTAATCACAGGGAAGCGCTAAACCCACAGGGTTATACAGTGCATGTGGGGGGGGGGAATGGATGGTATACAGACTCAGTTCAGGGAACTGGAGCACAGATCCAATTCACTAGATCAAGAGCCCCTCACCAGCGTCAAGGAACCTCCCTTGAGGGGAGAGGAAGAGGGCAGCAGTAGACGGTAGGTGTCCCTGGCATACCAACCAGTACCCAGAGCTATCATTCAACCCCCCCCCCGGTGGGTATTTTGTGTCTGGTATCGCTTGTCTGCCATTTTTGCATAATGAAGAAATATGTATTGAAGATTTATGAAATAGTATATAATCTAAAATAACCCAAAAAATTCCAGTGACAAATCTTTCAAAATCACCAGAAATATATTTTACAAGTCAAAAAAATTTACGAAGAAATATATTAAACCGAGAAAATGTTGGTTTTCACTTACTATTAAAACCTTCTTGATATACCTTCTCTTAAGAATTTAAAATAAATCTGTTGTATTTAAAAAATCTTGATAGTCACTGGATTAAGACCCCCTCCCCCCCCCCCAAAAAAAAAGTGCTGCTGGTTGTCTATAAAAAATTCTCCCCCCCCCAAAAAAAAAAATAAAAAATAAAAGTTACCATGGTCAAACTGGGAAAATTCTTGAACTAAGATGATAACATAAATATAACATTAGAAGTGGACAAAAGTCTAATGTTTCTGTTTATTAATGTGAGAGATTTTAACCATCCAATTGATATTCAGAAGACCGAGAAAGATGCATCAAGGAGTTCCATGATGAGAGAAATATAATCTATATTCTATATTCATTTCAATATTAATATAAGTTCTGGGCTATATAAATTATATTGATTGATAAAATTTGTTGGGAATATAAACTTTGTTGATAAAATATTCCCACGTCTGGCAAGTATCTTAAATTTTATGTGACCTGATTGAATCTTCGGTGAGGAGGATCATATGTCAGGTCACATGTGAGGTCACATGAGAGGTCATATCTCAGCTTTACAAGTTTTCTCGTCTCATTATTACTGGTCCCTCGATAATGTGAGAAATTACAGAAATGTTGAGAATATCATTATTTTCACTGTGATTATAATATACTGTCGCTGGTTTCCTCCGAAACACACACACACACATTATATATATATTTTATATATATATACATATATATATATATATATATATATATATATATATATATATATATATATATATATATAAATTATTGTAACCACGAACGAGTGGAATTTAATCAATAACAAAACTGCGAGTAGCCGAGGATTCGAACCCATGTCGTTTTGGCGAGCCTCATGGTGAGCGAAAAATCACACGACGCCCTAATGTACAGGACCATGCAATCCTAAAGAATCAAGCACCCAGCAGAGCTCGGTGTTTTACCTTGATCCAAGGACGTACGGTGGTGTGGGTGCCTCTGAGCTAAATTTTAGACTGACTTGAATATTCCAAGAAGTGGAAAGTGTATCAAGCACCAAGCTCATCTCTGGAAGGACCAGGCAACGCTCTCCCAGACTCGGACGACAATCTTGTACCCCACATCAGGGGTATGGGAGAGCCGGTGGCCTGGTGGCTAAAGCTCCCGCTTCACACACGGAGGGCCCGGGTTCGATTCCCGGCGGGAGGAAACATTTCGACACGTTTCCTTACACCTATTGTCCTGTTCACCTAGCAGCAAATAGGTACCTGGGTGTTAGTCGACTGGTGTGGGTCGCATCCTGGGGGACAAGATTAAGGACCCCAATGGAAATAAGTTAGACTTTCTTGGGTTATCCTGGGTGGCTAACCCTCCGGGGTTAAAAATCCGAACGAAATCTTATCTTATCTTATCTTAACCACTAGAGCTCAGGTCACTTCAGATCACTATCAACGTATCTAGTGCCGAAGCACACTCAAATATAATTAGTTTGTGCATCAGCTGGACTAACACAAGAAAGCTTTATCAGTCCTCAGTATGCTAAGAAAATACAGTTATATCCCAGAAATATGACGAAGGATAATACAACACTTAACCACGAATTTTGAGTTAGCACCATGATACCATAGCAACAGCTGAAATAATCAATGTATCTAACAGCTGAAAAACTCTGTGTATGAGGTGCTAGTGAAAAGTTCCCAGACTTCTATTTTCATACTTATCCTTGTTGAAATGTAGCGGTGGTGTACATCACACTGTTATGCTGCCAGTGTACTCTTGTGTAACAAAATGGGATCTTAAAAAAAGAGAGAACTGTGTGTGTGTGTGTGTGTACTCACCTATTTGTACTCACTTGAGTGAGGTTTGCAGTCTTTGGCCATCTAAACTATATTGTGTCTGCGGTCTTCTTTGCCCTTCCTCAATCTTCACGACTTTGCATTTGGCAGAGTTAAATTCAAGGAGCCAGTTGCTGGACCAGGCTTGTAGCCTGTCCAGGTCTCTTTGTAGTCCTGCCTGATCCTCATCAGATTTGATTCTTCTCGTTAACTTCACATCATCTGCAAACAAGGACACTTCTGTGTGTGTGTGTGTGTGTGTGTGTGTGTGTGTGTGTGTGTGTGTGTGTGTGTGTGTGTGTGTGTGTGTGTGTGTGTGTGT